GACACGTTAGAGATGATAAAAGGTTTGACATGAACTTGTAGGCTATTTCATTAGACATGACCAAAGTTTTGAGTAAACATAGGCCTTAGTTCAATAAAGCATAAAAGCATATGCTTAAATCCATTTTTGTTTGAGAAAGAATTTAAGAATTTATGCTTAACTTTAAGGACTGACTTCAATAGGACTTAAACATATCCTTAAAGATAAGCATGTGTTTAAATGCTTAATGTTCCATCCCCATTCAGCAGAATATGGTACAGGAATATATACAACTGCAAAGTGGCAAAGACATCTGAGTGTTTGAGCCAAATTCACCACTAATATGAATACGTCTAACTCCAACTCCAGTGGAATTATACTACTTTACTCCAGTGATGAATCTGGTTTTTTTAGTGTAGAGCTGCTCCCTAGAGTTCGTTTGCTTTTTATCTACATATGTACGAGGAAACTTACTGACCATTATTCATCAGTAAGCAACACTCTGTATGGTAATGGGGCTCGTATGGGGCAATAAAGGATAGGAAATGTGTTTATATGGCTTGCATTGCACACTGCATTAATCTGAGTGTCCATTATTTCTAAAGCAAACATGGAAACATAAAAAGTATATTAAGCATTTTGCATAGACTTTTGTCACTTCAAGTATTTGTCACAGTTTGTGAGACCCACAGAAGCATAACAGTTACTTAGGTAGAATTTGGATACCTAGGTTGTTGGTATCCAGTATTGTGAAACCCAAAATCCACTATGAACACTTGGAGTAAACAATGACATTTTATGTATAATTGCCCACTTAAGACCTTTTACTGAATGTGTTAAGCAGAAATAAACATGGTAGACCCAGGAGAGGTAAAGGCATTTTACTACCTTCAACATAAAAGTCTAATAACATAGAATTAAACTTTAATGATCAATTCACTTCTGTTTCAATTAATCATTGGGGTTTCATTATCCAAATGAAGCACAACTAGTGAGATATGATGGTTTTGCTTAGTACATTTTAAATGAATCTTATTAATGCTAAATTTTAGAGCTGATATTACATAACCAAATCAGATTATCAAAGGAATCTGATTTAATCTCTCTTGGGTACTGTTTTAAAAAAATATGTAATCCTCTCACAATGTATTTACTCTTTGAATGTAAAGTGCTCAATCTGTATTATGTTTATATCAGGCTTAAAATAAATTAATTAAAAAATTAACTAAACCAGAAGTGTTATATCTATTGGAGAGTCTTAATTAGTTTTTTCCCCAAATAAAGATACATGGGGTCTTACTTTTTCCACAGTGTGAGAACTTAAATGGTTTGGAGCAAAAATTGCCAGGAAGCATAATAAATTATGCATTACAGCTAAAATCTTGAAAAATAGCTATTTTGTTTAAAACTTATCAGCCACATAAACCACAGCCTATTTGGTATCTGTAATTTTCAGTATTTAAAAATTCCCTTCCTTGCTGCCACAGATGAAACTTCATTATAAATTGCTACCATCTAAGCAAGATACTTACCATCTAAGATATTTTTTCATCTCTAATACCAATGCCCCATTGAAATGGAACATTTCTTAATATAGATAAGTGCACTACTTAATGCAATGTGGCCCTAACCTCAATTGAGCTTCTATGAACTACTGTAATACCTTACATTTGCCATACAGTTCTTTCCTGAGCAGTCTTTTCTGCTTTGTCAATGGCCAAGACGCTATTTGTAATGGCTAGAAATTTAGGATCTGTTAGTTTAAATGGCAAATAACATAGGTGGATTCTAGGAACCATGTTCAGCTCTACCTTGACTCATATCATAGTAACAAAGGCTACGTCTAGACTGCAAGCCTCTTTCGAAAGAGGCTTTTTCGAAATATACTTTTGAAAAAGCCTCTTTCGAAAAAGAACGTCTAGACTGCAATCAGTACTTTCGAAAAAGCCCTGTTTGCATTCAAGAACGCCTTTTTTCGAAAGAGCACTTTCGAAAAAAGGCGTTCTTCCTCGTGAAATGAGGAGTACCGCCGTTGAAAGAAAAGCTGTGTTCTTTCAATTTAATTTCAAAAGATCGCGGCTGTAGTCTAGACGCAGGTGAAATTTTTTCGAAAAAAGGCTACTTTTTTCGAAAAAACCCTGCAGTCTAGACACAGCCTAAGGGGATAAAACCATTTAATTACCGTCATACCTCACAGGATGGTGTGGTATTGTTGGTGTTGTGTATTTGTATTGTATTAATGCCTAGAGGCCTAGACCGTGTCAGGGTCCATTATGCACTGTACAAGCATACCACTAGTCAGCTATTGCTCACAATGTACGGTAATGTTCATAGAGCATTTTGAATGCATAGGGTCAAGATAAACCTCTTTGTGCCAATCCAGCAAGTAAAGGAAAAATAAATCTTCAAGAAGTATGAATGATATTTATTTATTTAGCTCACTGCAGCTTTGGGTCAAAACCTCAGCTTGTGTAAATTGCTGCACTTTTGTCTGTCTAAGGATCTGGCCCTTGGTCTTCAGCTCTCCTTTGACCTTTTGCACCTTTATTCTCATTTCAAGAAGAAAAACAATGAGTTTAGACTTGAAGTCTATTTCGAATTCACTAAGGTCAACAAATATGAAACTCCGTGTTGTCACTACAGGGAAGAATCGAATGTAGTCCAAGGCAGGATCCATTAATGTGGACAAAATACCTTGAACTCAGAGCCCCAGGAAGCACTCTGAGGAGCTGCAGGAGGCCTGCTAGAGGCCAATTAGTTCAAATTAGTGGCACTGGAACGTCCACACTAATGTTATTTCAGACGTACAAGTTTGAGAATAGTGTTATTCCCTGTAAAGTTTGAGAATAGTGTTATTCCCTGTGCTTTCTAATTCCATTACCCTGTATACCGGGCTTAGTAAAGCGGATGTATCGCTTACAAGATTGATCTTGCTGGGCTAATTTCGGGCTACGGCCCTAGTGTAGACCAGGACTTACATGTTAATTTAAAGATTTTTTTTTTAATATAGTGAAAATTTCAGCATTTATTTTGATAGCCTCTAACAGATATAAAACGTGCACCAAAATTAAAGATATGCCAAATTAGATAAAATATAGAATCTCTATTGTTGTGTATAGGTAATTGCAAAAATATTGCAATGGAAACCGACATAATTTTACTACCTTTTGAAAAATTAATACATTGCTTGAGATAAGGGTCAATCAGCGCTGTTCAGTGCATGTTGGTTTTGTGATTTAAGTAAGTTTTGTTGTACCTTAAAAAATTAAAAAGCTGTAAATCAGTAATGATATGTGCTAACAGTCCTGTTAGGTGAAGAAAAACAGAAGGGCTAAGATGAAAGTCAGTACTTACCATTTCTCTGCAGGCTAAAACTGAGCAAATCAATGTGAGACACCTGACATCAGGAAATTGGGAAGTTATCAAAATCCTGGCGTATGATGAAGATACTCAAAAGATGTGAGTATTATTTTCTTTGTTGAGGTAAAACATCTGTGAAATATTGAGATAGAATCCATTTTCCTAAAGCAGTGTGTATACAAATTAAGTAACAATCTTTTTTTCATTTGTGAGCAGTGCCATAAATTATAACCATAGTACAAAGAGCAGTTTCATACATTTGATCTGTCATAGTCAAACAAAGCAAAGTATCTTTCTTGAATAACTAATAGAGATATTCTGGGCCAACTACTGACTCGCTCTGTTGATTAAATAAAAGGAATTAAACTACAGGATGGAGACAATTATCTTTACATTTCTCCTTCCTCTCCCCTGGAATCTGAGGGAGAGGGTGGAAAGCCTGGCAAAATTATTAGAGTTGGTAAAACTCAGAGGTCTGAGTTCACAGGGGTTTTACAAACCTTTCCTTTGGTTTCAATGGGTGGGCATTGCAACCTTGCAAACTTCACTTTGATAGTCTTTGTTCAAATAGATACAAAAGCTCATGTTAGGAAATAGAGGAGAACTCAGCCAAAATCACAGAGTTTCAACCAATTTATTATTGAAACCTGATTACAATGTTCTCTGGTTTGGTTTTAAGGTTCCTAAACAAGGATTGAAGAACACTCACTGAATATCAGTGACTGGAAACAGAATGGGCTTGTTACCAAACACATCAGTCAATGGAACCAGTCTATCTGACTACAGTGTGCTTTAGATCAGGCCTTATTTATATCTATTAAGGCAGCAATAGGATTATGAGACGTCCCATTTTTAAAGGGACAGTTCCATATTCAAGTCGTCCTGCAAGAGTCCTGACTTTTTCTTGAAAACAAGCAAATTATCCCATATTTTCTGTCTTTCCCATTCTCCTCAAAAGTATTGGTAGGTCCCGCTGCTGGTCGGATTGCCAGCTGCTCACCCAGCAGCAGTGAATGGGGGATCCATTGGTCAATGATGTGGAATAGTGTGCATGGATGGTAGCAGGGCAAAGATGCAGCACATGCTGCTGCTCCCACTTCCCCTGCTGGTCTGTCAGCACAGCTACTACTGCATGAGGGCTCTCAGCAGCAGGGCTCTGCCCCAATCCTATTTCTGACCAGTACTGGCTACATGTTGTGCACTGCAGTGGCTGGTGAGTGCAGGCAGGCACCTGGCGGAGACCAGCTGTGTGTCTTCTCTGTCTCCCACCCATTAGCCTTTTACATGCTACCTCTTTTGCTGTCATCTCTCTGCTTTGCCCCTTCATCCCCTCCAGCCTTGCTGCTCTTCCATATCCCCTCCAGTGAGGTGCGTCCACCTGGTGCTGTGCAGAGAACCTGGCTCTGGTCAGAATATTAAGTTGACCAACAGCCTACTCAGTAGGCTCCTTCCTTCCCCCCACTGCCTCTGTGGCCCGAGAAAGCCCAAGATCCTCTGCCCCAGGGCACAAGCCAGGGAGAGCTGAGCCCTGCCTGTGCCAATGCCCTGCACAGCAATGGCGTGGAGAAGCCTCTCTGCCCCTTAGCTAAGTTCGGGAGCGGCCGGAGGGAATGAGTTTCTAGACTGTTCCTGCCCCAACCCTGCAGGCTCCACAGTAGTTTCCAGGGCAGGAGGTTAACAACCTCTTCACCATCCACCCTAGGTCCTACTCCCAGGGAATGTGGGACTGCTCCATCCTCTAGGCAACTTCCCCTGCTGAGCCACCTGTTTGGCTAGGTTTGCTAAAGCCCCTGTCCTTGGGATCCCTGGGCCCTGTTGCACACTCCATCCTTATGGCTTAACCCCTTCCTGTCTGCGCTGTAAAGGGGAGTGCAGAGATGACTAAGTCATGTTCATGGCCAGCGGTAGTCGGGAGTGGGGTATTACTTGACTTGCAACATTGTGTGGTCAGCCAGCTGCTTCCAGCCATGGGGCAGGGGACAGGAGGAGAGAAAAAAGAAGAGATGAGCTCTGCAAAGACATGGGCTAGGTTATCCCTCCCCTTCCCTTCCTACAGCTGGAAGCAGCTCCCATCTCTGACCTGCCACACAGAGCCAACAGGTTGCTAGTGGCCACTTTATGGTGTGAACCTTGACAGAAATCTGGGAGGAAGGAATGCGACCTTGCATGTTCTCCACTCATGTGTTGCATCAGGAAGACGTTGCACCAGGTACCAGGTGATGGGGAGGGTCTATCCCAGGGGCCCAGCTAGGCATGAAAAGTGGAGAGAGCCAGGCTGGGAGGGCTAGGTCAGTTGGTTTATGGGAATGTGTGTGCATGTCATGCCTCCCTGTGTGAGTCCTAAAGCCTTAAAGATAAAAAATTAAATAATAATAATCCAACTATGCCGTATTTCTTTTTTTAATGGGGTATCAGTCAACTAGATGTTAATTTGAACATTTGTACTGATCACTGCTAAACTCACCTGAATATGAGTAATTTTAGCTGGTGTCCCATAGGGAAACAACATAGGGAAATATGGACACCCTAGGCAGAAATACATCTAACATGGCTGAGGCTATGTCTACACTATGGGGCTTTATTGGAAAAAGGTACGCAAATTGCACTCCACAATTTGCGTACCTTTTTCTGATTTTTTTTTCAGAAGAGGCTTTTCCAAAATTTGGCCTGTCTACACTGAGCCAAAAAAGCAGAAGAGCAGATGCATTCCCTGGACATGGCAGAGTATTTCCAGGATACCTCTGCTATCCAGGAAAAACCGCGTAGTCTAGACATAGCCTGATTCTGATCTCCACTGAAGTCAATGGAGTTTGAGTAGTGGTGGAGCTGGCATAAGAATTAGAATCAGTTTCCTTGTCTCCACCAGGGTTATTGAGGGATGCAGTTTCAGACAGACCTTGCTATGGATTTTAAAAAGAAAAGAAGCTATCTCCAGTTGTTTTTCGGAGCATACATGATACACAAAAGCAGCTGTAATGTGCCCCCATGCTTTCAGCATTGTTTTGATATGAAAACATATATCAGTGTAGTTGTTTAAAGCTTTCTGCACATGTGTAATCTGAGCTGGTGAATAATGGAATATTTGAGTTCACTGAAAATTCAGAAAAATGGAACATTTGAAACAAAAAGTAATTTTGAACTAAAAAACTGAAATATTTTGACTTTTTCTTTTTTTTTTTTTACTAAAATAATTAGGTAGAAACAACATGTGCTTTCAAAACATTTCACAAAAAATGTCCAAGAAATTTCACCCAACTGTTGCATATTGGCTTTGCATGGGTCTTGGCGCCATATTGAAAATTTCAATTTCAGATGTGAGTTTACTTTTATGATGTGAGTTTAATTTTATGTGCTTTTCTTGGACAGTTATTTTTTAAGCACTGAAGATTCCCCAAGAGGAAGACAGCTGCATAGGTAAGTAATACTCCAAGGAAAATTTACAATAGCCCTAAAACATGTACTATAAACTAGAAAAATTCTGTGTGCCTGACCTGGTGCTTTTGCAGCTTTAGTCATCTGCATTTGAGTGAAATGAGTGCAGAGTAGGTATAGACTGCTGCCAAGCAAAATTATAATTGTTTAAAGTGCATTTTATGTAATATGAAATATAAACAATACACAGAAAAATTAACAATATTTTAAAATATTTCACCTTTTTTCTATTTAACCAGAGAACTGGTTGAAATTTTTGCCATTTGAAGCATGCAGTGAAATGTCAGTACTTTAGATACTGAGATCAAACTGAGAAGTGCGAGGTTTAAAAAAAAATCCCCAAAAGGTTTCCCTTTCTTTTTCATGATCATTATTACCAAATCTGAGTGACAGGATTTTATACACACTTTTGCATGGAGATAAATGACAGCAGAAATTGCAAGGAGCAGAGAATCAGCCTGCTTATTACTAAAGAGAATTTATTTTATGCTCAACAATTGCCAATCATATTTATGTAAATATAATATACAATTAAAAATTAGGCAAACTCCAAATGCAGTGTTGTAATACACATGTATTTTTTAGACTGGTGTATTGTACAAAAAGCTTTCTTAATGTGGCTAAAATGATATTTACAACTTTCATCCTAAACTTTGTGATCAAACTGCCTCACCTGTGCAGGCACCCCAGTTCTAAAACCTACAATTCTGTCTGTACCTAATTCTCATTAATTTCTGACATTTATTCTTATTACCTTTAATAATTAAGATCCCAGTCCTGTAAGATGCTTCATGCAGGTTTAGAAGATCTCATTGACAGAAAAGCTTGCAGGGTTATAGCTTAATAGAGCAACTAAAAACATGTCATATCCAGCAGAAGAATGGAGATCAGAAAGATATTTAATGATTGTTTGGTGGGCCTATGACATCACTTAATGAATTTGCTATATTACAAAATAAAACTCTTCTGACGTTTGCAACTAATTTTGTTCTCAGTGTATCAACAGTTGGACTACTGAACCGCCAGTGTCTTTCATGCAACTTCATGAAAGATCAATGCACATACTTCAGTGCAAAGTTTAGTCCTATGAACAAGTATTTTTTACTACATTGCAAAGGTAAGTAAAATGTATTGTTCAAAATACTGTTTACAATAGTGCCTTATTTGTGAAAATAATATAATCCTATCTTCATCTAAGTAGAGGTTTGCTAGATACATGCAGACACAGGTTTCCTCTGCTAGAACTGGAGTTAGCTGGTACCCTGACAGAATTTCCTTGCTTTCGTTTATAAACTTTTCTGTGGAGTTCATTGCTGTAGTATCTGAGTGATGCAAAAACAGATGTATTTAGTTCACTTGCAGAACCAGGAAACTTAGGTTAATCCAAATGGATTTTTTTCTAATTTTTTAAAAAACTGAAAAGTTTTAAAAAACCATTTCAGCTCCAAAAAATATTTTGATTGTGTTTTTTTAAAGAATTAGTAATTCTTAAATAAAATTGAAATAAAGTAATTTCAAATGGAAAAAATCAAAATCTTGATTTTTAATAACATGAAAACTAAACCGAGACTTTTTCAGAACATTTGGGGGTTTGTTATGACCATTCAGCAATTAAAAATATTACATGTAATTAAAAATATTAATTGTGATTAATCACACTGTTAAACAATAATAGAATACCATTTATTTAAATAGTTTTGGATGTTTCCTACTTTTTCAAATATAGTAATTGCAGTTACAACACAGAACACTCAGGGTATATCTACACTTGCACCCTAGTTCAAACTAGGGATGCAAATGCAGGCATTTGAAATAGTCAATGAAGCGGGGATTTAAATATCCCACACTTCATTAGCAAGATCTCGCTGGCACGCTAGTTCAAATCACAGCTGATTCGAACCAGGAAGTGTACTCCTCAAAAAATGAATAGTAACATTAGTTCGAACCAAGGGGTTTGGTTCAAACTAACGCGTCCCGGTGCTCACTTCCTGGTTCAAATCAGCTGTGATTCAAACTAGCGCACCGGCGAGATCTTGCTAATGAAGTGCGGGATATTTAAATCCCCGCTTCATTGACTATTTCGAATGCCTGCATTTGCATCCCTAGGTTCGAACTAGGATGCAAGTGTAACCATACCCTATGTGCACAATGCTCACTTTATATTCATTTTAGACCAGAAGCTTTACCTGAAATTTCTTAACTCAACTGATTTTTGTTTTCCTTCATTTAAATCATAGCTCTGGGGTGGGACTGGGGATGAGGGGTTCAGTATGCAGGCTGCTCCAGGAAGAGAGGACTTCCCCAACCCTGTCTCAGCACAGCAGGTTGGTGCCAGGTGAGAAGCACCTCTCCATGGTTGTTGTGGCTACATCAGGCAAAGCCAGGGGAGGGATGCATGTCCATTGGCTGGGACAGGTCTGGGTTTGTCTGTCCACAACACTCCTCAGCCAGGTTGCAGACTGTATACTTTCCCCTCACTCCTTTATGAAAGTGAACAGCCAACACAGTTTCCATATTAATGGGATGGGGAAGGTGCAGCCCTCCCCTGCTTTAGGGATTGAAGGCCTATGGCTGAGGTAGTCCTAGATGTGGGATGCATGCCCCCAGATAGTCCCTTTCATCTGTCTGTTGATTCTGGGTTTTTTTTCTGTATTGTTTTATACATCCCCAAATGTACTATGTATATCAGCCCCCCTCCAACCAAACCTTTTCCCTGCTTTAAGTTATGATAAGAGGTAGCCACATACCAAATTTGGTGGTCATAAATCATACCCTTTTAGGAGGAGTTCTTGGACAGACAGACTTGCTCGCTTGTTTGCTCACAAAAAACAACAAAATAAATAGTATGTTTCACTTCACCCCATTAAGTACTGTAATGGAATCATGAAAGTTGAACTTACAACTGTAGATTTAAGTACACATTCAATTGCACTTGGAACATAAATAAATTGCACTACCATCTACAAAAGTGCCCTGCAAATAAACACCTGTTCTCACTGTCAGGTGACATTGTAAGTAAGAAGCTAGCCGCATTATGTTCTATAAATTTAAACAAACTTGTTTATTATTGTGACTGACTAAACAAGAAGTAGGACTGGGTGGACTTGTAGGCTCGAAAGTTGTATATTATTTTGGTTTTGAGTGCAGTTCCGTAACAAAAAAATCTGCATTTGTAGGTTGCAACTTCATGATAAAGTGATCATTATGTTGTTACTTGTATGAGGTGAATTGAAAAATACTATTTCTTTTGTTTATCATTTTTACAGTGCAAGTATTTGTAATAAAATATAAAGTGAACACTTTACACTTGCTTTCTGTGTTGCAATTTAAATAAATATATTTGAAAATGTAGGGATAACATTGAAAATATTAAATACATTTTATTGGTTTTCTATAATTTAATATTGTGATAAAACTTCAATTAATCATAATTACTTTTTTAAAAAAGTATTATTTATTTAGTTAATCACACGAGTTATCTGTGATTAATCAATAGCACCAGTTTGTTTTGTTTTTTCTCTTTGCTTTTACATAAATTGCCCAAAGTCCCACAGGAAGTCATAGGCAAAACTAAGAACACAGATCTACTGAATTCCATTCCTTACCACAAGGCCGCCTCGCATTTTTTTTTTTTTACTCTTTCCTGTTTCAAAATGTATCTTTCAGACAAAAATGCTATGTGCAGTGGTTAAAAGCATTTCCCCTTCCCACCACTAGTCCTCTCTCTGTTTTCTTAGTCTGCAAACTCTTCAGAGAAAGGACTGTAGATCAGATTCTGCTGAGAGTTATACCACTCAAGATTATGAGTAATTTAAGTATTTAAAGCTTCTTGAGTTCCACATTAGGCTAACAGACAACAGTATTTGGTTTCACGTCTTCCTATGTGTTTATACAACATTTATTAAAATGGGTTACAGACCCTGCTGTTTTCTGTCCATGGGCACCACCTCAATATAGTAAACAGCACTTTAATCAGTGAATCTGACATTTAACTATAATACCTTTTCTGTGAGAAAAATAGGATACCAAAGGTGTTTCTTAATCATGGAACTATTTCATATATTGTGATATTTGTAATACACTTTTGTATGTCTGGATCACAAAGTGATTATTGTCATCTCCATGTTCACCTTCCTTCAAATACTGAGGTCTCTTCTATTTGTTGAAGTTTGGAACAACTCATAAACAGTTTCTACTTTAATTATTTTTTGTACTTTTCTCCCACTACAAAAATAGGGCCAGGCGTTCCAGTTGTTAGCGTGCACAGTACGAGTAACCCTGGAAGTGAGTAAGCACCATTCCACAAGAATCCCTTATTGTAATCTTTGTTTTAGCATAAGTAAAAAAAAAATACGCAATTCATTTCCATAAACCTGTCTTAATTACATTCTAGCAATAAACATGGCTGGGAGTGATAAGAGAAAAAATTAGTCAAGTAACTGGAACATTCCCAGGATTTCTCAGATACATGTTATGCTAGATGCATATCTTTCATCTACTATTTACACTTGAATTAATTAGGTGCCAGGATGTTCTTCATCCCTTTCTCTCACTATGTAAATTATGTTTCTATTATGTCATATTTTCTGGAGTCTTAAAATGTTTTTAAAGTTATAATCCAATTATTTTTGATTAAAGTACAGACCTCCCTGGTCTGATCATCAATTTTTACTTACAATAAGCCAAGTACTGCTCTAATATGCTGGTGCAAATCCAGCATGCATTCACTGACATTTTAAATAGGAATTCCAAGAGTAGATTCCTTGTGAGAGAGGCTCCGTTACTGCTATGTTTCACGGTTTGCTAATTATGCCCTATATTATGGACTGGTTTGCTGCCCTGACAATACAAAGAAGCCACAGATATCAGACAGTGTAAAACTACGATAGCAGTTTGGCTAACTCTCCAGTCCTACACAGCATCCCTTCACTTTGGGAATCTACAGCACTGGCACCCAGCACTAATTAGACCAGCCTCAGAATGCTCTAACTGCTGCTGGTACAGGCCAGTGCAAGCCAGCGAAAATTATTCTCAAATTCCCAGAGCTACAAAGGTGGCTTAAAGCCCCTCTCCTAGTCTGGGCCAAGAAAATCTCACCCACAGCAGAGGATCTGGCTATACATCTTCAAAGTGTCATACTGATGAGACTTTTCAAATACATAATAGATTTACAGCATGTTGATAACTATACTAATCTATTTTAAGGGCATGTCTCCACTTCCGTGAAGATTGATGCTGCAGAGTTTGATTTAGTGGGACTAGTAAAGACCCAGTAAATCAAATGTTGTGGGTTCCCCCATCGACTCCAGTATTCCTCACAGTTGTTAGGGGTAAGGGAAGTTAACAAGAGAAGTTTCTCCTGTTGACTTCCCACTGGGGATGCCGGAGAAATTCAGCTTAAAGTCAACTCCAGCTATATTATTTATATAGCTGGAGTTGCATATCTTAAGCCAATCTTCTTCATGAGTGTAGGTCTGGCCTTAGTTAAGGAAAAACTAAATACTGACCTTTCTCCTTCATATTTTCAATATTACTGGTTATTATAGTTGTTAAACTGTATACTGCAGAAACCCTAAAAATGGCCAGGGGGCTAAGTATATCACTTAAGGTAAATTCATTAACTTCATCAGTGGAACTTCTAGATATTTATGGGAGTAGAATTTACCTCTTTGTGATTTGTTTCCAAAATTCCCATTTGTGAAGAATTAAAGCATAAATATGAGTAGGATTTATGTGGAATATTATGGAAAAAAGACAAGGCAGTAGGTCTAGATTGTTTACCATTAACAACAACAATAAAAAAAACAATAATGAGATGCAATTTATTTGTAATGTTTCAGTGCAAGATTAGATAAACCCCTTCTATTAATAAAAGTGTAAGAGTGTGATTAAAGATTACTTCCAATTATTATAGCCTAACACTATAATTATAACATTTTGGTTGACTGCCCAGAATTAACATTCAGTTAGATTATCCCTTGTTGCCCTAAATTAGATGTATGATTTCAAAAATTCACATGAAGGGAACAAGATTGGAGAGTAAAAAAGAGCAATAGAATCTTTCATCCAAATGCAAAAGAGTTGTTTCAAATCTGGCTTCAGCTTTGAATCCAAATTGTGCCATGACTCCGCACTAAAATGTAGGAGAGGAAGGCATACACAGAGGTAGTGACCAAGTAAGGGTGTTCTGGGTAATTTTCTTGCACTGGATAGACAGATACTAAGGAGGCCATGCTCCTTAATCCTGCTGGTGACAGGAACATTATATAATCTCTAAGTCTTCTCTCACTGCCTACTGTCAGACATCCATTTTGACAGGAATTGTATACCTGCCTTCTTGGATACACAGCATTTCTCATCATCGTACATCCACCCAAACTCCCTGGGTGTATCAGATATGCTAATATCTGCATTAAACCTGGGTCTAAAATGGAGTGGATAGTGAAGGTATGAGGCTGGGTATTGCTCTTCCTTCCTAGCCACAAACCACAAGGAAAATTTTAACCTTGATGTTTAATGAAGGCAAAACTTGTTGAATCCAGAAAGAGACTGGAAAATCATAATACCCCATAATACCTTGTGAATTAAGCTGGTAGTCTGGCATTTGAATTGCAAAGTAGGTGTTTAAAGAAAGAAACTATAAAAATGTTTAACATTGCATT